CGTGTGTGTGTGTGTGTGTGTGTGTTGAGCTGCAGCTTCATCATGTCAGAAACAACATCAAAGCCTTCAGACAAACTACTCAGATCACGAGCAAAACAACACACACACACACACACACACACACACATACCTAAACATCTGTCTGATGTTTTCACAACACACACATCAGCCAATCAAAGCTCTCACAGTCTCATGCTGCACTGTGATTGGTGGAGAATGTAAACAATGGTTTCAGAGCACCTGTAGGTGTGTGTGTGTGTATGTGAATGTGTGTGTGTGTGTGTGTGTGTGTGTGTGTGTGTGTGTGCGCGCATGCCTGAGAAAACATACACTGATTTAACAACAAGCAGGCTGAGTAGCATCACTGTGATCGTCCACACACACACACACACACACACACAAACACACACACACACACACACAATACTGCAGTGCTAGCAAACACACGCGCAGTCAGAGATGAGGGTTAACCCCACTGCATGAGGAGGGGTGGAGCATGGAGAGACGCTACATTAAGCAAACAGCAGATCTGATATTACAGCCCACCTCCTCTCACTATACAAGCTGTGTTTAGCTGAAATTAGCAGACCCGCTCAGATATATCGCCCTAGCAGAACTATCGATCCGTCCACTCAAGATGAATTCATCAGACCGAGCTGATCTGCTCTATTACTTAATGCATCCGCAAACTCAAATGACCTTGATGCAGTAACCAGCAGTGTGGACGCCGTCTTTACTAGCACACTGAATACTGTGGCACCCGTCAAACTGAAAAGGCTAGAGAGGATGAAACGCCAGCAGGGTATAACAGTCAGTCACACTCTCACAACAGCAGCCCGCGCCATGAAACATCAATTTAGAGGAGTGTAGAACTGCGTACTAAGACAGTGTGTCCAGCGACACTCCTGAACTCTGGAACAGCCTTCCCGAGGCTCACACACACTCTCTCAGCTCAACACTACAGTAAAGACTGATCTCTTCAGTAAAGCACACACTCGGCGGTGTGATGCATGAGTGTGCTCCACACAGGTGAGCTGGCTGGACAGGACACACTCCTCCTGGCTCACTGCAGCAGACTCAGTGTTAGAGACTGTCCTGTGCTTTACACGTGTGTTTCTGCTGTCTGCATCTCCTTTATGTACACCGTGAACAGCAGCTACGCTAATCTTTCTCTTTATTCTCTATTTCCACCTCGGGATACTCATCCCGAGACCCCCAGAGACTATGCAGCGCCACTGATGATCCAAGACCTAGATGATCCCGAGGTCTCCATAATCCTGGACCCGGCCGTATCCTGAGCAGCTGCTGTGGTGGTCATGGAGGAGTGGAGAGCGTGAGACTGATTCCTGGATGGATCTGCGCTTCAGTGTTTGGACTCTCAGCAGTGAAGATTAAAGCACACTGAACTGAACTGAACAGAACTTCAGCTCTGAACACTGGACTTTACTACAACTATGTGAAGCTGCTTAGACACAATCTACACTGTACAGCACTGCAGAAATAAACATCAATGTAGAGGGGTGGAGTAGCGAGGAGAGGGGCAGGGCGAGGGGTGGAGCATGTGAGGAGAGGGGCAGGGCGAGGGGTGGAGCATGTGAGGAGAGGGGCAGGGCGAGGGGAGGAGCATGCGAGGAGAGGGGCAGGGCGAGGGGTGGAGCATGTGAGGAGAGGGGCAGGGCGAGGGGTGGAGCATGTGAGGAGAGGGGCAGGGCGAGGGGAGGAGCATGCCAGGAGAGGGGCAGGGCGAGGGGTGGAGCATGTGAGGAGAGGGGCAGGGCGAGGGGAGGAGCATGCGAAGAGAGGGGCAAGGCGAGGGGTGGAGCATGCGAGGAGAGGGGCAGGGAGAGGGGTGGAGCATGCGAGGAGAGGGGCAGGGAGAGGGGTGGAGCATGCGAGGAGAGGGGCAGGGAGAGGGGTGGAGCATGCGAGGAGAG